ATCTAGGTAATGAGAACTGATTATGCGTTAATGATTGCAATTTAAGTATATTATTTCTGACATGAAGATTTATTGCAAGATCTAACAACATAACCATATTTGAAAAGTATTTAATAAAATTTTTCCACATTCGAAATCCGTATACATCTAATGGCTGTATTTTTCTCATTGTGCCAGCCGGAATAGTTAGTAAAACAATATCTGTTGCAAATTCTGATCTAGTTTCTGCAATAATATTAGGACACTGACCAGTCCATGAGTCTAGTAGTAAAACTGATTTCGCTCTAACATTTGGAAAATATACATCTTTTAACCAAGTTTTTACATGTTGCGATGTTAATTTGCCTGATTTTGAAGCCATGGTATAAATATTACGTGCTTTAAATATATTTTCCTGCACTCTTGGACCAAATATTCCACCAACTTCTTTTAATACTATGAAAAGAGGCGACAATAATCTACCATCAGCGGTGATGGTCGGCTGTATAGTGTAACTATGTGTAGTTGATGATAGTGACTGTACTACAGTTTGTACCTTCTTTGTACCTTTGCGCGCTAGAATACGACCGGTATGAAATTCTAATTGGAATCTGCTTTGATCTGAATTATAAATATTTTTGAGTCCATAATGACCGATGTAATATTTTAAATTTTTAATGAATGTTACGCATTTATTTTCTAGGTCTGTTTCTAATAACATAGACTTTTTAATAACAAATTTTGTTACTTTCCGTGATACAATATTATGCATAAATTTAAATCTTCTCACCCATGTCTCTGAAGCTGTGAATCCTGGTGCATTTTCTTCTTCTTGTGCTCGGGCAACCCATCGTGCGATATCAATGTCGTGAATAATTATTCCTTTCTCAAGTGCTTCATTGAAACAATTTATTATGTAATCAGAAATTCGTCTTAATTTTTCACTTCTAGTATCACCTTGATTGATTTCTTTTTCCCATCGTCGTAATTGTCGTATTGATGCAACTTTCCGAAATCTTTATCTCACTCCTTCTAACGATCTCCGTCTCGTTTTACCGCTCTTCCAGTATTCCACGGCACTTCTTTTATATTCAACTGGTAATACTTCTGTAGAACATAATACTTCTCCCGGTAAATATTCTATTAGGAGTACAAATAAGTTTCCGCCGTTTTCTATCAAAAACTAGGAATTTATTGTGAAAGAACGGTACATTACGTTTTATTCAAAGTATTGTCCATCACTAGCTACTACTTTTTCCCATCTTTCTGGCAGCATTCGGATATCACGTCGGAAGAACTCTTCATCTTTTGAAGCTATCCACGAATCGACCCAATTTTTAGTATCTTCATATGATGTAAAGCGCTGCTTAGACAGGCCATGTGCCATCGACCGGAACAAGTGATAATCGGAAGAGGCAATGTCTGGTGAATACGGCGGGTGGGATAGGACTTCCCAATTAAGTGTTTTCAAATAGGTTTTGACCGGTTTTGCAACATGTGGCCGAGCGTTGTCATGTAGGAGAATAATTTTGTCGTGTCTGGAGTAGTAATGGGCGCGTTTTTCCTTGAGTGCTCGGCTCAATCTCATTAATTGTGTTCGGTAGAAAGCTTCAGTAATGGTTTCGCTCGGTTTGAGCAACTCATAATACACGACACCAAGCTGATCCCACCAAATACACAGCATGAGTTTTTCTCCATGAATATTCGGTTTGGTTGTCGATGTTGAAGCATGGCCAGGTGGTCCCTATGATTTTCTCTTCTTTGGGTTATCGTAGTGGATCCATTTTTCATCACCAGTGACTACACGATGCAAAAAACCTTTTCTTTTATGCCTGGCAAGCAGCATTTCACACGTGCAAAATCGGCGTTCAACGTCTCTCGGCTTCAGTTCATATGGAACCCAATTTCCTTGTTTTTTAATCATTCCTAACGATTTTAAACGATGTGAAATTGCTTGTTGAGTCACTTCTAATGTAAGTGCAAGTTCTTCTTGCGTTTGGCACGAATCTTCCTCCAATAATGCTTCCAATTCCGTTTCTTCGTACACTTTCGGCCTTCTACTACGTTCTTTGTCTTCCACGTCAAATTCACCGTTTTTAAACTTTTGAAACCATTCACGACAACTTCTCTCACTTAAAGCAGTCTCACCATGTGTTTCTACAAGCAATCGATGCGCCTCAGCTGCAGATTTCTTCAAATTAAAAGAGTGAATCAAAAGTTCCCGCAAATGACGCTTATTCGGCACAAAACTTGACATTTTCGCACGAAAAAAGTTATGTGATGCTGATACGGAGTCACTAATACTTCAAGATTATGTTGTTATCAGATGTCTAAACTTACGATATTACGTTTTACATCTGACAATTTCAACATAACCTTTTGGTGGGGCCATCTTTTGTCAAACGGCGGAAACTTATTTGTACTCCTAATATTTTTTCATGACTCTGAAGTAAGTTAACTGCTTCAGCTTCGGAGGTCTCATATGGATCATAAAAATCTAGAGATATTTCTTCTTCTATTTCTAATACTTTTTCGTTATTTATTTCTTGTAACATGTGTTCAATTTTCTCTTTTACTTCTCGTTCCTCCAAAGTTATCGGACTCTGAGGAATATTTAATGCAGTAAAAGTCACATACAATAACATTACTACATTTAATGGATTAAATGGCGTCATTCTAAAAAAATTACTAATTAAATATCTGTTCCAAACTACGATTATGTAAAACATATTGCGTACTTTATATTTAATGAAGCAATCTCTTTATGTTAGTTATATGATATTCCTTTCTCTCTTGATAGAAAATGTGATTTGAGTCCAAAATAAACCACTGAATCGTGAAAAAATAATCAATAATTCAACATCTCGCTAATATAGACACAGGAAGCAGTCCTACAAAATATGTAATAATGAAGAAAGTACTCTAAAATATAATATGAAGCATGAAAATCCAAATATTATATAGGCTGAGAAGAATTATAGAAATTTACTTAAATTTATTAGAATGTAAATAACTTTGTTGAATTGTTGAATTAATATTGACGCGTTATGTGTTGGATTATTTTATGTGATTATTTTATATGACATGCACACCACAGCACAAAAACTGTACATATAAAACTGCACAATAAAACAATTATTTGCTAATTTATAAAATTAGAATAGTAATAGAAAAGTAATTTCAAATTATTATAAAATATTTTCACGTTTACAAAATTACATTATCAATAGATATAATATTACATGACGGACACGCTTGTGATGGACATCATGGGATGGTTCGAACAACGTCGAAGTTACGTTTTGAACTGATAATATTCCACATCACAGATGTATATATACACTTCTTGCTGTTCACAACTCCATTACGTTGCATACGATACTATTGTTTGTTTCACAATTCTATATCAATATGTGAGTGTTATTTTTATTCTCAATTGTGTATCTAAATCAGGCCACTTGATAATACTTCGTGAAACTTTGCCAGCAAACGTTATGTAATAGCACAATATCTCCTACATTTTTAACTTCAATCTCAACTTTTCTTACATTTATGTCTTAATATATTTATGCTAATAAAAGTAGAATTAACAGAAGATATTGCTATTTATTAAATATACTATATGAGAATTGAGTCAGTCTCGACGAGTTATATCGAGTCTTATTTTAAATCTCGTTAAACAACTGCGTGTGTTCTGTTTAAATTCTGTATGTTTTTGTGTATATCTGTATATATCTGTATGTATTTCTTATTCCAAGACTCACTCATGCAATAGCGACACCAAATACGTTTCCATTCTCACGCAGCATAACTTATCAAATGCCATATAATGTTATATAATACGTTGCATATGATGTAATTGATAATAATTTTTGCTCATTTATAATACGCAGAAGATGCAGTTATTGTTTGTGTAAACATCATGTTGCAGAAAAGAAATAACATAGTATGTAAGCCTATAGCGCAATGTAACGCAGCGCAACTCCTATAATACGAAGTTTCAAATGCATTTTTCTAAACATGTAATCGGTGAAATATAATATTACTATATATGGATGAATTTGTCTTTTTAAGCTCTTTAATTTTTTTCCTTACAAAATTTTTGAAACTAGCAAAATTTATAATGGAGGGGGAGGGGTGAATTAAAAAATTTGATATTTTTCGAAAATCTAAATATACTATTACATAGAGCATAAAATACCATTAAACTTTCATCTAATTATTTTTTCATATATCTCATAATTTAGAACATATTCTCAAAAAACGAAAAAATCCGTTATTTTCGAGGGGTGTTTTCAACTCTTAAACGTCGAGATACGCTGATAAAAAATATGACCTAATTATTTTTTGCTACTCTACAACATATCCAAAGCCCATCCAAATCGGTAAGGGACAGTTCCGACGGTTTACTTGTCAGTCATAAACTGCCAACTTTTGGCTTCACTTTTTAGAATGAATGCTTGGTTTACATTGCAAACTCGAGTGTGTTATTTTGACGCGTATAAGCTGAAACTTTCTTTACGCATATCTTGTCGTTTTAAACACGTCGTTTAACGCATTTAAACGCGTTAAGTGATATCGAAATGCATCAGATGACGTGATTTCAGATGACAAGAAACGCGTGAAGAAAACTTCAGCTTATACGTGTTAAAATAACACACTCGGGTGTGCAGTGTAGGTATATATGTCGTTGCATGCAACTAATTATATCGCATTAAGTATACGGCCAATTATATCTAACTTATTGCAACAAAAGTTGATAAAAACAAACAAATACGTATATTATGAATTGCGTTTGTGTTTACTTGTCCTAGATAAATCAAACTTTGGGTAAGTTTTGAAATAATCAATAAAGATCAGGGTAGTCAACATGTTTAAATGCATCATTTCCTTTGCGCGATTTATATATTGACAAATAATAAGAGGGAATAAAACATAAGATTAATCTATTTCTCGTAAAGTTAGCGTAAAGTTATATGTATTTATCATGTAACATGTAATGTAACCAATAATAAATTTAGGTGTTGGGGCTAATTGATGTTTGGACAGATTCTTTCGAAGTAATTGATTGCTTGCCGTTAATAGTTTTAAGTATTCTCTGTGCATCTAAAGTAATCTGCTTGGTACACACATTACCCAAAGTATGTATATAAGAATAATACGAATTTTATAAACTAATGTGATGAACCAAATCACTAAAACAAAAAGATTAAGAAACCAAAAAATAACGGAATTTACACTGGATGCGCTACTTATTATTAAATTGCGTGACTACAGATCAAATATCTTTTGATTAAAATGGAACGATACTGGTACTCCCCAAAATCGAACGGTGAGACTAAAATTTTACATTCTTACGCAATAAACGGACGCAAATTCGGCTACGCGTATACAGGTGAGTGCATAAGATCAAGTATAAAGACAAAAAAGAACATAAATATTTCAATATTATCTGCTTAAATATTTTAAAGTATGTCGAGGTAACTAACGTATCTTAATAAATTCATATATTAATCAGTCGTACTACTCGGTCATTCCTTCCTCTTTCTATTCACGACTTTATTGACCAAGTTCATTTATGTGGAATTCAACGAGGAATTCAATGGATCAACAAATATCGTAGGTACCCAAGCAGGGATACCCTATCGCGTTAATTATATGGTCGACTTAGATACTTATTTTGTTCCAATTTTTATACACACGGCCATGTGCGAAGTATCGTACATGATATTTTTAGTCGCGGTCGACGTTTTATATATGACATTTGTGCAACATTGCTGTGGTTTACTCGAAGCTTTAAGGTAAGAACGTAATGTGAAAAGAGTAGGGTTAATGAGAGCGTTTTACTGTCCTCACAGGATTTTTAAAAGACAATTTTTTGTAATGTATGATCATTAGGAATGCCAAAAATAACCATTAAGTGAGAAAACAATTAATCGATATAATCAAAATTAATTATTCGTTTAGATATATCGCTATTATATCTAAGCTTCTTTTATGACTAATGAGTGGACTGATAAAATATTTTTGCTCATTATACTTATTTGCTACCATGTTAACCTTATTTTAGATTATTAATTATTTTAAAAATAGTATAGATGATGCTGCCCATTATTTGTCTTATTAAGGCAAACAAAAATAAAGAAAATATCGTCGAATTCTGAGCAATTATTATTAGAAAATGCTTAAAAATTATGACTATAATGTTTAATATGTCCAAAAAATAAAAATCTAATTAAAAAATGAAAAGAAGTTTAGTTATTTTTGACATTTTTAATAATCGTATAATATAAAAAAAACTGTTTCTCGAAAATTCTGAGGAGATAAAAATAACGTCCTTATTGACCTCCATCCTTTAGGTATTTTGATGTTGCTTTTCCAATCTATCAGTTAGCAACAAAGTCATGTCGCTTTTTACGGATGAATAGCTTGTCATTAAACACAATTAACTTCAATCCAAATCCTATAATAATTTAATTCTATAATCTTTTATATCATTTGACAGCTAAAATTTCAAACTTTCTTTAAAAAAAAGTGCGTCATTCGGTAAAAAATTGTTTGTGTGGTATTAAGTATAAATGGAAAATTAAAATGAGCATTTCCGCCATATTTTATGTTTTTACTTCCAAAAAGGAAAGAACGCTATGCAAGCCCGTCAAAAGTTATGTACTGTTTATGGTGAGGAATCCTTAACAGAACGCCAGTGTCAACGTTGGTTTGCTCGTTTTCGTTCAAAAGATTTTTCTGTGAAAGGTGCACCACGATGAGGCCGGTCAATCGAGGTCGATGACGACAAAATAAAAGCATTATTTGAATCCAATCGCCAGTATACAACATCGGAGATCGCTGAGAAACTAAACATATCACATATGAGCATTGAAAACCGTTTAAAACAACTTGGATACGTTAACAAATTCGATATTTGAGTACGACACACGAGCTCAAAGAAATTCATTTCACTAAATGCATCAATATCAGTGATTTTCTCCTGAAACATAAGTAAAACGATCCGTTTTTGAAACGAATGTTAACTGGCGATAGAAAATGGATTATTTACAACAATGTGGAACAAAAAAGATCGCAGAGCAAACGTGATTAGCCGCCACCACAAAGCATTTCTAAAACATTCAGACAGACATTCACCAAATGAAGATTTTGCTATCTGTTTTTACTATCTGTATTTGATGGGATTAAAAGAGTATTGTGTTTTTTGAACTGCTTAAACGTAATCAAACGATTATTTTGGAATTATACTGTCGTCAATTGGACAAATTACACGAAACAATCAAGCAGAAACACCCAGAATTGATGAATCGTGAAGGTGTTGTCTTTCACCATAATAATGCTAGACCACATACATCGTTGGTCACTCACCAGAAATTGTTATAGCTTGGGTAGAATGTGTTACCACACCAACTAAATTCGCGTGATCTTGCATCATTGGATTACCATTTATTCCGTTGCAAAATTCCTTGGAGATTCTTTTCCTTGCAAAATTCCTTGAAGAGGAATAAATTCGATTTCAATGAGATTACCAAACGCGGTATTTGGATCAGTTTTTCGCTGATGAAGACCAGAAGTTCTATGAAGCGGAATCATGAAGCTACCAAATAGATGGCAAAAGATCATTAAGAGAAACGGACAATATAGGGTAGACCGAGGCGAATCAGATCAATGTTTCTTTATCGGTAAAAAGTTATTATAGGTCATTAAATATGAAATGTCAGATTTCTTTAAGTACTAAGTTCGACCATCGATATCTCTGACATTCCACCTTTACATTCTTGGTTTGCTTTTGTTGTGAAGGTACATCATCACTCTTTCAAACGTATGTTTTGGTTTGTGATTATCATTCGAGATGTCTTTGTTACAGCAATCTTTGTGTAACTATGGATAAGCTAAAAATTTGTGTTATTTTCGAATATGAGTTCCGTCGTGGAACCAATGCACCGCAGACAACTCGAAATATCAACGAAGTGTTTGGTGAAGATGTAGCTAATAAGCGCACAGTACGTTGATGGTTTGAGAAGTTTTGTTCTAGCGGTTTTAATCTTAAAAATGAGTCACGTGGGTGACCCGACATCAAGGTGGATAATAATGAGCTGAAAGCTGTAGTGGAAGTAGATACATCTCAAATTACGCGTAAATTAGCAGCAAGGTATAACGTTACTATTCCAATAATATTGGATCATTTGAAATAAATCGACAAGTTAAAGAAGCTGGATAGAAGATGGATTCTGCATGAATTAAACTAGCGTCAGAAAAGAAATCGTCTTGAAGTTTGCCTTTTTTTACTATCACGACGTAAAAGCGAACCATTTTTATATTGTATTGTTATGTGTGATGAACAACAGATTCTTTTCGACAATTGCAAGTGTTCGGTACAATGGTTGGATATAGATGAAATGCCGAAACACAGTCCGAAATGGAATATTCACAAAAGAAATGGTGAAAAGGAAAAGCTAATGGTGGTCCATTTGGTGGTCTATTTGGTTGTCCAGTGCTGATATTATCCACTACAGTTTTATGAAACTTGATCAATCGATTACAGCGAATGTCTACTGTAACCAACTCGACGAAATAATGAAGATGCTTGCGATTAAGCAGCCGAGATTGAACAATAGAGACAGGCTAATCCTCTTGCAAGACAACGCTCGACCACATGTCGCACAAAAAACGTTGCTCAAACTAGGAGCTGGGCCTAGAAACTCTCTGTCATCCACCTTATTCATCAGATCTTGTACCATCTGACTACCTCTTCTTCCAAGCACTGGACCATTTTTTGCAAGGAAAAATATTCAATTCTCAACAAATTGTGAAAAACGTCTTCCGCGATTTCATCGTCATCTGCTCTTCAGGCTTCTTCGCCGCTGGTATAAGTAAGCTACCATTAAGATGGTAAAACTGTGCCGATAGGATTTAGGCACTTTTATTTGGATTAATTGTACTATTTTTGTTTGAGATATAATAAACCAAACTTTTAATTCGAAATCGGATATTTCATACTTAATGACCTAATAAAAACGAATTCTGTTATTTAATTTTATTATAAATTTATTATCATTAGACCTTTGGCTTGAGTTTTATACAGGGTCTGCCAAAATTTCCGGAACAACTAATTATTTCAAAAAATAATGATTGTTTAAAACAATGTTTGAAACAAAAGTTGTAGGGCTTAAAAATAGCTATCAGATATTGATAATTGTTTGACCTCGGAATGATTTTGAGAAACGTTATCAAGATCGACATAAAAATCTTAAATGGAAACTCCAATTTGTTATTACATCATCTTTTTCCACCAATTAATTTAAACAACTTTTCTCTGAAACATTTTTTTATTTGCCTAATATTTGTTTAGATATTTAAGGATAACTTGGTAACTTTTTTAATATTAGATTGTCTAAAAAGTATTGAGCCTTTGGAGGCCAAATTCAGAATACATTTATTGAATACATTATTATTATTTGTTATTTGAAAATAACATTATGAAACCACATATGCACCATTTTGTTCGATGACTTTCTGCCATTTTTCCGGCAACATCATAATCCCGTCGCTATAGAACTTCTGTGGTTTCTGGTCAAAAAATTGTGACACGTGGTTTTCACAGGTCTCTTTTGAAACTAACTTAACACCATTCAAGGAGTTCTGCAGAGACCGAAACAAATGATGGTCTGACGGTGCCAGGTCCGGGCTATACGGTGGATGCATTAAAACCTCCCAGTCAAATTCTTTCAATTTCTGACGGGTCATTAAAGATGTATGCGGTCTGGCGTTGTCAGCGTAGTACGACACCCTTTCTATTGACCAGTTCCGGCCGTTTCTTTTGGACTGCTAGGTGCAATCGCGCTAATTGTCGACAGTACAGGTCCGAATCTATCACGAGTCATTCTGCCTGGCAGCAGTAGCTGGTGATGCACGCCTTTCTAATCCCACCAAACACACAGCATAATCTTCCTGGGCGTCATTGTGGGCTTTTCCACAGACTGTGGAGCTTCTCCTCGCTTCGACCACGATCATTTTCACACATTGTTGTCGTAAGTTATCTACTTTTTATCACTCGTGACCAACCGCTTCAAAAATTGCTCGATTTCATTACGTTTCAGTAGAGATTCGCAGATAGAAATTCGATCTAGTAAATTTGTTGAGTCAGATTATGTGGCACCCAAACATCGAGCTTCTTTTTATAACCAGCTTTCTCCAAATTTAACACTGTTTGGTGATGGATATTTAGGTCATTGGCCAGAATATCATCCACTTTTTCTGTGATTGGTCGCCCATTGCGAGAAGCATCTTAGACATCGAAATTTGCAGAACGAAAGCGACTGAACTATCTCTTGCCTATTACTTTTGATAACGTATCTTGCCTATAAATAGCGCAAATTTCTTCACGGGCCTGCGCAACATTTACGCCTTTATCGAAATAAAATTGTAAAATGTAACGCAGTTTTGCAGAAAGTTCACTCACCTTCACGGCGCAATACCTTACGTCTGATTATAAGAATTCCAACACTTTTTGTACGTCTACTAGCTTCAACTGTCAGCTGTCAAATGACGTTAGGCCTGACCTGCTGCAACTCATATACCCTGAGATTTGAGACACTAACGCTATCTCGTGTGTAAAAGGCTCAATACTTTTCAGACAACCTGATATTTAACTTACGATATCTCTCTAACTGTTTGTCAGGATAGAAAAATAGTACTAAACTCTTCTATTCTATTTGGTCTTAAGAATATATTGTTACAACAGTGCCTTGGCTTTTGTTAATTTGATGATTTTGAAATTTCGAAAGATCGATAAATTAACAAAAATAGAGCATTATTGTACCAATATATTCTTGAGATCAAATAGAATAGAAA